AAAAAAAAAAAAAAAAAACAAATAGCAAGGCCATGGGGCATGAGGTGGTACCTAAGCCCTTTGAATATCACATCCCACCACAGTGCACCTTAGATGCTGGACATGAAACTACAGGGTTTAGCATCTGCTGAGTTTGGTCTTGCTTTGGTCTGGTTTCTGTCTATTCTTTTATGCTTCCTTTTTGGAATAGGAATATTTATCCTGTGCCCTCATACACTGGAAGTATTTCACTTTCGTTTTTATTTTTATAGGGTGTCTCAGTTATTTTTTCCTCACTGCTGGGATAAAATACCCAAGAACCAAAAGTATGGAAGGAAAAGTTTACTTAGCTCACAGTTTGTGGAGGTTTCAGTCTATACTTGGCTGGCTCCCAGGCAAAGTGGCACATGGTAGAAAGCAGTTTATGGCAGCAGAAAATAGCCAAGAGCAAAGAAGGGGCAGCGGCTGTGGCTTTTAGCCAACCTCTCTCCCCTCCTAGGGCTGAGGGTGTAGAACTCACAGAAGGTCCATGCTCTTCCCTTGTACAGGATGAGGATGTTTACAAATTAAGAATCCTGGCCCTTTACTTAGTCACTTAATTAAACTTTTAAACATCTCAAGTTGACACAATGTATCAACCAGTACCTAGACATAGCTATGAGTTTGCCTTGAGTCTCAAAGGAGACTTTGGACTTAGACTTTTTAGCTATCTTGAAACTGTTAAAACTTTGGGGATTCTTAGAGATGGAGTACACATATTTTGTATAGTGTAATGGACATGAGCCTTTTGATGGAATGTTATGATTTAATTTTAAAATATCCCCCAAAGTCTCATGTTTGGATGTTGGACCTGGTCCGAAAAGGGTATGTCACTAGGGGCATGAATTACTAGGGTATGTTCTTGTTCCCAGCTCCTCCATTCTCTCTTTGCTTCCTGACAATGATATGAGCAGTTAGATTTCTCCTTCTACGACGCAGCCAACATAGATTAACCCAGCTAAAATAAACCACTCCTCATTTAAGTTGAAGTATCAAGTATTTTGTACCAGTGATGAGAAAGTAGCTAATACATTAAATAACCCTGGTTTTGTTCCCTATGGCCCCAAAGCATTAGAGGAGTAATTTAGATATGTCAAAGAAAAGCAAGAAAAAGTTTCCCTTAATGGAAGTTCTTAGGAGAGGAAAAGCAATCCTATGCTGAGGTTACCAAAATCTCTGGTAGAAACAAATCTTCTGCGAAATTGTGAGGAAAGAAAATGAAATCCTTGCTAGTTTTGCAAAAGAAACTGCAGAGATAATGGTCACAGTGCCTGACATTTGCTTAAAGATAGAAAATGCATTAAATCTGTGTATGTATAGAAGCAAACAGTATACACAGGGTTTAGTACTATTTCAGGTTTTAGATGTCTATTGGAGGTTTGGAATGTATCTTCTACATTATCACTATAAGTAATTACTGTACTTGTTTCGTGTATGCTCCTTTATTTTCTTTATTAAATTATAGCCTCTCAATAAACAAGAGCTTACTCTTTTATAGCTTTCAATATAGTGTCTTGTGTACCACAGATACTCAACAAATTCTTAGCAAATCATTTCTCAACTAGTACACTACCAATTGCATTCCAACACTGAACTATGGCTCAAAAAAATCACTGACCTCAAATCAATGTGTTATGTTATACTAAAATTAAATACTATAATAAAATTATAACATTTTATAAAAATATAATGCTTTATTATGTAATTATATATTATATAATATTTGTATGTCTTATATAATTATATATAATTATATAATTATATGTCTTGTTATATAAAATGTTTTATAAACTAGAATAAACAAATCTGTAACTTTTCATTCTTACCTCATTCAACATGCTCTAAATCAGCAAAACATTACAGAATGTATAAAATACTGCATTAAAAATAAGCACAGAAGTTGGGATTGGTGCTGTACACCTGTAATCCTAGCACTGTGGGATGCAGAGGCAGGAGGATTGCAAGCTTGAGAATTGAAAGTCAGAGGATAGCCTGGGCAATTCTGGGAGACTGGTCTTGTAATATAGTTCAGTGTTAAGGTCTTCAGCTCAATCTTCAGTACCCACCATCACCACCAAAAACCAAAACCCAAAATCCCCAAACCAAATAACATTTTTAAAGGTAAAAAGAAAGTGAGAAACAAATTTTCTTCTTTCCCATTCTAAGGCCTCTCAGTCATCTCTTCTGCGCATGAAGGTAATAAGGTAGTGGGATACAGGAATACCACAGAGAATTCTAGCATAGAACATTAAAATATAACATTATAACTTTTTATAAAAATTTCAGTTCAAATATTAGAAAATTTTGATCCTATGTGTCAGATGAAAATCTTTCATACTTTACTAGTTATTTAATGAAGTTTCAGAAATTTAGAAACTTTGAAAAAGTTAATTTAGAACTTGGAAAAAGTTCCTAACAAAGGGCTGGCCAGATAGTTCAGCGGATTAAAGCATGTGCTTAGGCAGATGGCAGGACCAGGTTTGATCCCCGTGCCATGCTATGCTGTGCCTGCCCCATCACTGGGGCGTGCTGAGACGGTGATTTGAGACTGGGTGTGGTGGTATGCGCCCACCTGTAATCCTGGCACTTGGGAGTCTGAAAACTGGAGAATCACTATGAGTCTAATCAGTACAGTAAGACTCTGTAGACTCTGTACTAAATACATTTTTTTTTTTAAAAAGAAAAAGTTCCAACCTTGATAAAAACACAGATTATATATGCCCCAAATGATAGATATTTAAACTTACATTTTGGGTTTTAAACTTTCATTTCTCACCTGAAAGATGTTTTGACTATAAGAAATTTAATATGCAATTTGTTCAAAGTGTGTGAAAGAGCACTCTAAATAGATGAAATTACAACTGAAAACTGGTACTATTTTAATTGCAAATTTCTTTGTAGTAAGTATAAACACTATGGACAACTGGGTATCCACACCAGTTCTCATTTCTAGCAGTTAAGGTACCAAGGCTTTAAAAAATATTGGGAACAATATGGAATAAATATGTAACAATTTGTGTCTTTTACACATTTGAAAAGTTTAAATATAGTTGCAAATATGACAAAATGTTTCATAAGCCTGTCTCTATACTGATAATTTTCTGCTTTAAAACTTAAATAGTTTGATAGAACAATATTAATGTTGTAGCTTATCATTTAGACTCAGTGAAAAGATATGGCCAGTGTCCTCGTTATTGCTTGCCTGCATATATTCAATATTGGTAACCCTGCACAAAATAATGTGACAATCATTTCTCACATACTATTTCCACAGATCTTTCAATGTCTTCCTCTATTCTTACCTCTACTTTTTCGATATTCACAGACTTCCCTGGTCCTAAAAAAATAAAAAAAATGCTTTATAATGTAGCTGTAGAATTCTCTGTCTACCCTCTTCTTGGGTTATCTCATATTCCCTATCTTAAACACTTACCATACTAAACTGACAATGTATTTTGTTAAAAAGGAAAAGAGAAACTAATGTCTCTGGCTTACTAACAATGCCTTCCACTTGTAGAATTAAATACATCAGCATCATTCTTCATGTCCAATCTCAGGAGAAAACATTCCCTTCCTCTTCTACAAGGTTTAACTGTACAGGGAGTCATATCCGTCCTGTCCACTGCTGGGCTCATGACCTATGGATTGTTCCTTTTTTACTACTTCAATATTTTTTCTTTGCTTGATATTTCCCATCTTGAAGTAATTACTTTTAATTACCTTTTAAGTCACATCCTTACTTCCATCCTTTTTCCAATACCATGCTTCTCTATGGAATAGCTACTCTGTGTCATCTTTTCAGTTCTTCACTCAATTATAGGTCTTCTCAAAGTTCTTAAATAAGATTAAGAATAGCCTGACAAATCAGTCACATAATCTACCCTCTTAAGACTACCACTGCCACTGGTATTACTCAAGTTTTCATTCTTTTCTCAAAAGAGCCTAACTATTTCTAAGACATCAACTAGTTTTCATCTGATTTCCATTCTCAGTTATGGTACTAACCTTTGTCCAGCTGCCTTCTTAATGTATTTCCCCCTGAGAGGCCCAAAGATGGTAGCTTTACTTTATCATTTTCAAAACTACTCATTCACCCTACCAAGCCTATTCCTCCTACTATGGATTCTGCCTGTCATATGTATTATGACATCACTATCTGCTCATTCTCTCCAAAGTTTATAATCTCAAAACATGAACTTTTTCATCTCTATATCCTTTAGATATCTCATTCTTCTTCAAATCTTTTTCTTTTATCTTATTAAAATCTCAAAGTTATCACAATTTCCAGTTCCCAACCTTTGGTAGAGTTTTGACCTACTCTTGCCTATTAAATGGTCTATTAGTCCTCCATCATTCCCCACTACAGTCCATGCTTTGAAAATGCTGTGACAGAACAAAAGATAATCTACAGAGATCCTTTTTAAACACAGATCAAATAATACAGTCCCTAATGTGCTCTGAGGATGTAGTAGGCCTGCTTTAAAGAAACTTTTGCTGACCTAATCTTTAATTAGCAACAAGTTAAAGTGTCATTATTTATATAAAGAAGGTACTATTATAATTTACTTATTTTAAAAATAATTTTATTGAGAAACAGAGAGCAATGAGACAGTTTCAAAACCGATAAGGACAGTTCCAATAATTAATAAATTGCACATTGTTGCCTTCATAGTGGTTATTCACAGTACAAGATGCAGACATGATACTCTGTCCAAACATTATTAGCACAAGTCTTTCTTCTCATTGAATTAAAATATAGTTGTATATCTATCCTAACTATTTTGAATATACAGATACAAAACGGTCCTTCATTTGTACTGGCCCCCCCTTTTTTTTGTTTAGTTTTGTCAGAGATGGGTATTCCATTGTCATTTAAATATTGTGTATGTGAATTTAGCAAAATAATCCAATATAGTCAGTCCAGTAGTCCATAACAGTAGTGGGTTATCTGTAGGACTGGCAATGTCAGAAGTTGTTGATTTGAGCCTTTTACAGCTCAGCATATTAATATGGCTTTACTTTTTATACATCCTTTTTATACTTTTCTGCTGGATGGTTAAGACCAAGATAAAGCAAGACCTATATAACAAGAAATGTAACTTTTGTATCTGCCAAGGTCAGACAAATCTCAGGATTTACTCCGAAACCCTGTACCACAGTTTATAGATCCTTTGTCAGTGTCAGCCATGTGGATGAGTCACAGCCATTGCTTGAACAATTTGCTCTCTGTGAAAGCCTGAGCGAATGTATTCTCCCCAGGTGACTCTCACAGTCTACATCATCAATCACTTTCCTCTGCAGCCCCATGATCTCCTTGATCAGAAAATTTGGGACATAACTGAATTATAGGTACTGTTATAATTTAATCATAACTGAAAGTATTTTCACCCACCTAATTAGGACTAATAAATATGAACTATGACTACAGGATCACTGTCATACTTTGTTAAATAAATTTTATTCTTTTCTAGCATCTCAAACTCTATATATAATTTTAGAATGAACATCATGGAGAGTTCATTTTCAAAAAAAAAAAAACCCACTTATTTTATATATGCACTTAAACCACTAGAATTCGTAACAGATCCACCGATAAACTGGTTTTTAAACTAAATCATGATGAAACTGAAGAAAAGCCACCTAACCCCTCCCCACCCCATTCTGTCCACTGCTATCCACTGGCTACTTTAAGCCACCACCATCTTTGCTATAGCTGTCATTTGATTGGTTCCTTATTTTTTCTGTAGTTCTCAATATACAGCCACCATTTTAAAAGACATACAATTACTCTGTTAAAATTATGTTACTGTCCTTCCAAAACTGTCCAGAGGCTTTCCACTTGCACTTATAAAACCATCCACACTCTTACTCACTCATGATGCCCAGTGCCTCACAATGGGCACACCATCTATGTAACTTCTGCCCATTGATCTCTAGCCAGTGCCCTCTGTTTTCTTCCAAAATACCCGTCATAACCTGTCTTTCATTTTTCATCTTTACTATCTCTTGTTCTCAGTGTGTGAAATGACACCCTTAAAAGCCACATATATATTATTCTCTTTGTTATTGTATAAATTTCACTTCCCAGAAAGCATACCCCAACATCCAAGCTGAACCAGCATCTCTACCACATGCACAGCCTCATAGCTCTCTCCATCCTGCTGCCTTGATTTTCATCATTATACTCACTGAAATTACTCATGTTTTGCCTTTCTTGTGTAGGACACTACCTTGACAAACAACATTCAAATATTTATCAATTTCTAGTGTCTCTCAAAGCTGTATCCCACAAGTTCATATCCCCTTGCCTACATCTCCACAGGAAGGTATCATGGGGACCATAAACTCAACATCTCCAAAAGATATGTTACTTCCTAAATATAGTCTTCCTCCTGTATTCTTTCCCATAATCAGTGGCACCATGTATATCTGTTCAATCTCCTTTCTTTTCTCTATTTCTAATGTGTCACCAAGACCTTCCAATTATTATCTTACATATTTATCACATATACTCCCTTTTCTCTGTCATTGTCTCAGTTTATATTCTGATCATCTCTCACATTAAAATCTAAAGTATTCTGTTTATTTTTCTTAATTCATCTGTCTGTGCTGTAAATATGAGTTGTCTCTTCTAAAATTCATGATGGAGTTTAATGTCCATTATTAAGAGCATGGAAATTTAATCTGATAATATTTAGAGGTGGGGCCCGTTAGAAGTGATTAGGATTAAAGTCATCAATAGTCTTTAGGATTGAACTGGTAGCTTTACAAGAAGAAGGAAAGAGACCAGGATACATACATGTGTTCCCTGTCTCATGCCATATGATGCTCTGTACCACCTCAAGAATCCTACCAAGAAGAAGGCCATCAGCAAATACGGTTCCACAACCTTACACCTCCAGAAGATCAGTGGATCTGTTAAAGCCAAAATATCTATGTTTTCTTTAAAACTTAGCAGTCTGTGGTATGGTTAGTAATGACAGAAAATGGATTAAAATAACCTCTAGGAAAAAAGGTAGGGGGAAAAGCATACAAGTATATATATATAAGAAGGCTGAGGTGATTGTACTAAGAATTTTGTCAGTTTTTTGAAAATAGCAGTTAATGTATAGAATTCGTGCCTTGACTAACTCTGTATGCTGATATCTGTGAACTAAGCAACTACACTGAGGACAGCAATGTGTAATACAAAAACCATGCTTTAAATGCCCATCACCTTGGTCTTCTAAATGTGTACCATTTCTAATGTCATATCAATTATTACTAATATTCTCTTTAAAATTTTTTTTTAGGAAAAGGTAATAAAAAAGAACAAAAATTTAATATTTCTTGAAAACATGTGGTAACAGACAATCATATGTCCAATTTTGCACAACTGAATTTGTTAATCTGAGCAACAGATTTGATGATAAAATATATACTTAAAATTGTTAAACAGCTATTCTTGTTTTGAAAATCTGTAACATAACATGTTGTTGTATGTTACCCTGTTTCTGTGGGGTTTTTTTTTTTGCTTTTTACTCTTCCAAATAAAATTATAATAAAAAAAATCTCTAATACCAACATCACAGAGAGCTCTCCTCAATACAAATACAACCATGTTTCTCTCCTGCTAAAATTATTCACTGGTTTCTCAATATCTAGAAAATTCAAATTCCTTAATATGGCATAAGGGCTCTCACATTGTTCCCTGTTGACCATCAAGTCCAAACATCCCCTTTTATCACATTTCACAGAGGTCCTTCTAATTCTAGTCACAATGGACCATTTGTTATCATCTAAATCTGTTGCTTCATACTGCTACCACATCACCTAACTGTCCCAAGTGAAGACTTCCCCATGCCACTCCAGCAGATTCAGGATATACCACCTACTGTACAGAAGATAGTCTACAGTTAATACAGTCTTCAGTATCTGTAAATTCTGTATTTTGTGAATTGGCCTACTTGCTTAAATTTATTATGAAACAAAAAATACAAAGTTCTTATGGTCACTTGTGGATAAGCACAAGCTGTGAATTACTTGAGTCACCTAACATTTCACAATCACATATGAAGGTGAACAAAGCAAAATTGCATTCTTGTTTCAGGTCTCATACTAAGAAGTGTCCTTTTCAGTGTACTTAATGCCACCTTTTTTTTTTTTTTTTTGAAAATTTTATTGATAAACAGATAGCAATGAGACATTTTCAAATCAAATTGGAAGTACAGTTTCAACAAATAACACACTGCATATATTCTT